AGTAGTGATTGACGTGACAGAGGAAATCTGGAGTAACACTCGTGTGCAGCAGTGACTGACATGACAGAGGAAATCTGGAGTGGGTGGATGCTTTTCCTAACAAAACAGCTAGCTCAGGGATCAGATCCCTTATTCTCTGCCAGGTAGAATTTCCCCGTTGGGTGGAGAGCAGATCTGGTGTCCTTTGGTGACTCCAGTTTTCTGTGTGCATGTATAAATGCATAAAGACGAATTTGGAATCTTGTTCTTTATAAGTTAGGGAGCATTGTTTCCTACAGAATGGACTAGAGGAAAGGCACAGCCCTGACTTGATCAGCCTTGAATGTTTCCATGTTGTGAACATCCAAAGGAACAAATGTTCTTTGTAGGAGTTACTGAAAAAATGGAGCATATCTTTACTATTCTGGAGAGATCATTATCATAGATGAAAATCCACAATGTCAGAGAATTAAAACTTCTGGTATTTTGATCCAATGGTCAAAACCCAACAAATTAATAAACATACCATCACCTTTGTAATACCTAGTATTAATCTGGACTTGTAACAGAAACATTACAGACAGTGAAAGGTAGTAATAGTATATTACAGTTCCCATTTGATTACAACCTGTACAAGCACTAATAATCAAGTATTTCCTATTAGATCATATGGCATTTCTCCCTCATTATTAATTCAATCAACAACTGCTTACTACCTACTGCCACTAGGCAGTGAACAAAACCAAAATCCTATCCTCATGTAATATATCTTCTACTTGTTAGGAATGTGTAACACACACACACACACACACACACACACACACACACACACGCACACACACACACACACACCTACCTCACACCACCATCCCTACCCCCCTACCCCATTGCCCCCCCCCCACACATACAAGCCACCCCCACCCCCCACACATGGCCGCATGTGTAAAGAGGGGGCACACTCCAACAGAAGAGAAGGGGCATGAGCTATGATGGCAGCAGGAGAGCTGTGCTTTCTAACTATATGATGAGGCTCTGGAAGGCCTTACTGATAAGGGGCCCTCTGAAGTACAGAACTGCAAGACCAGGGTGCTAAGCCTCAGCATCCAGTGTCATGGAAAGGAGTGCCCAGGTCTTGGGACAGGAACTGCTGGCTGTGTTCAGTCAACAGCCAGGCCTACATGGTTGAGGCTGAGTGAGTGAAGGAAGGAGGGCCAGGAGCCAAGCCTCAGAGATAGGGCAGCAGGAAGAGTAGAGATGGCATCTTGCCTTATGGAAAATAGTTGGGATAAGGCTGAACCACACACCACTCAGGAGCTACGAGAACCCATGGGAGCACTGGTGGACAGGCTAGGGTGGCAGATTAAAAAACTAGGATTTTGAAGTTATTTGTGTCTCCCTCCCCCTCGCCCCCCCAATATGTACTATATGTGTGTAGATGCCCACAGTGCCAGGACAGTGGACAGATCCCTTGGAGCTGGAGTGACAGGGGGTTATAAGCTACCAGATGTGGGTGCTGGGAACTGAACTTCAATCCTTTGGAAGAGGAGCAAGCGGAGATAGTGTGCAGGCAAGTTTGCAGAGAATGGACAAAAGACTGGAGGAGATGGCCTGTAGGAGTGAGCAATGGCAGAGGAAAGAGAAGTTCAGCAGCCTCAGCCCTGGGAAACATCTGTAGAGGCTGGAGAGATGTAGGAACCAGCCAAGGAGATGGAAAAAGAGTATCTAGCATATTCCAGGCTACTGGGAGGCTAAAAGTTGGCACAGCCTCCGAACAGACAGCCCTACATTGAAAGTTTCTAAGTCCTGCTCACCAAACATTTAGAAAGCTAATGAGAAAATCTCAATCTATAGAGAGATTTCTCAGGCTGTCGGAGAGCTTCCAATACAAGCATGAGGACCTATGGTCGGATCCCAGAACAACACAAAAAGCCAGACGTGCTTAGTTTTCTCGTCAACTTAACACAAGCTAGGGTTGTCTGGGAAGAAGGAACCTCAACTGAGGAAATGCCTCCATCAGATTGGGTTGTAGGCAAGCCTGGGGGCATTTTCTTGATTAGTGGTTGATGTGGGAGAGCTCAGTCTACACTGGGTGATGCCACCCTGGGCAAGTGGTTCAGTGTGGGTAAAAGAACAGGCTGAGCAAGGCACAGGGAGCAAGCTAGGAGCCTTCCTCTCCAGCCTCTGCTTCAGTTCCAACCATCCAGGTTTCTCTTAAGTCCTGCCTTGAGCTTTATGATGGGTTGTAAGCTGTAAATCTGAAATAAACCACTTCCTACCCAAGTTGCTTTGGGGCAGGGTTTTATCACAGCAGCAGAAACCTAACTAGGACCCCAGACATGCACATACCTGTAACCTTTCTGCCATTGAGGGTGAGGGGCAGAGAGAGACACGAGGATGGCCGGGGCTTGCTGGATACCAGTGTAGCTCCAGGTTCAATGAGACCCTGATTCCAGGGAATAAGGCAGGGAGTGACAGAACAGTACACTTTATGTCCTCCTCATCTTCCCACAAGCACACACATATGCCTATTCACCACACCCAACTTGTACCTCCACACATACAGATCCCACCTGTAACTGTAACCATCTTAATGGAGTGCACGTTCTGTAGAAAGAGTATGAAGCCAAGCATCAGTCATTAAGAAGACACACAACTATTACCAATTATCAGCCATCTGGGCTGGTGGTCCAATTGAAGATAGTCTAATTCTCCAATCCGGACAATGATATACTAAAGAGGTAGGAGAAATGGCAGGCTCCTTCTAGAAAATAATATTGTAAGAATAGATACTATGCTATTAATCTACATACAAAGTACTATTTTTTCTGCAAATTAAAAACACCAGCATGAAGAAAACCATATACTGCTCATGAATATAGATATATAGTATACGAGTTGAAGAGAAATCCTGTCTGTGATCAGGAGAGGAGAGCAGCTGGAATGAATCAAGGGAGCATGTGGTGCTTCCAAAAACATTTACTCAATGTATGAGAAGGATGAAGTAGATGTGAGAAAATACTTATAATCACGAGCATGAGCACATGTGTATTTAAAATATTTATAACCACCATCGAGCATGAACACACATATATTTAAAATACTTTTAAATGGAAAAAACAGAATAATAGAAAAAGCAAGATCAATTGTTTAAAACAACTACCTATTGTATTTGTACTTACACTGTAAGCCTATAATAAAGCCAAAGGGAAGTCTGTATTTTGTTGGCACAGTAATATAGAATTGTCAGCCTCCCACATGACACAGCACTTAGGATTTATCACTTGTACACTATGCTTTACTATTTGTTAAAGGCAGACAAACTTCAGTACATTTCCCATAAATACAGTAATCTGGAAAAAATGGAAACTGAAAAAAGGCCAAGTGGTAAAACTAAGTACACTTCCCATAAATATGGTAATCTGGAAAAAGGTAAACTGAAGCAAAGTCAAGCAGCTTGCTTTGTCTTAACAGGGAATCATGCTATAAACTTTGAGTTAGAACCTAAGGGCAGCTTTGGAATGAGAGGAAACTATGAAAGTGAATGGGAAGATGTGTACATGGGCCAAAGTCAGTCCACCTAATAACGTGCAATTCTCAGAACCATGCTTCTTCAAAGGTTTAGGATGTAAGAACCAGCTTCCCTTAAGAATTCAGAGGAGCCTGCCCATGTTAGCTCATTCTCTGGAGGCTCATCTTGAAGTAAAACAGCAGTGTACACAGTGGCAGCATGGCTTGTCACACCTTTTCTTTGCACCTTTTCTAGCCAATGGCTGGGAAATACCCTCACTCAAATCCTTATACATTCTTCCCAGCTTTTTAAATTGGAATTGCTCTTACTACCCAGACCAAGTCACTGCTCGTGCACATTCAGAAATTAATTCAGGGTGATTCATTCAGTCTGTTACTGGTTGAAAAGTTGGATTCAGTGAGTTGATAAATTCTTGAGATAAAAACAGAAACTCTACAAAAATATACTTCTCTACTCTGATTGGTCAGAATGGACTAAAAGGCTTGTTTTTCCCTCTAAACTGGTCAGAAACAATTATCTACATTTGTTAACAGTATTAAGGGGAAAAATACCTTTTCAAAACAGTAAGTGTTTTCAACAAATAAAATGTTTTATCCTCAAACGCTTATAGTACCCGCTTCTTGTTCTTTTTACTAGGGAGAGGCGGGGCTTAGAGACTGAACCCAGGCCCCCAGCATGCTAGGCAGGCACTGGACCACTAAGCCAGCCACACTCTCAGCCTCTGCCATCACCAGGAGCAGTGGTGACCTCCAGGAACTGAGCTAAATGCTGAGTGTGTCAGAGAAGCTGAGAGCTAGGCAGTAGGCTCCATTCATGCTCCACTCCAGCAGCTAGCAGGGAGAGAGGGAAACAGGGAATAATCACACACGGAAGATGGGTCAAAGACTTTCTGAGGAAACACCTAAGATGGGTCAGAGAAGGAAAATGTTTCCGGCAGGAGAACACGCAAGGGGAAATCAGACAGGGTTTCCAAACAGCAGTGGGTCCTGTTACACCTTAAAGAAAAGGGCAATGTGACCAGGGCAGGCTGTGGCAGGGGTGAGGAGAGCAGGGTGCTGTGGCAGGGATGAACCAGGGAAAGGGTCCTCTAGACAGGAAGAACATTCCAGTGTGAGCCTGGGCGACAATGAGGAAAGGGGGAGTGAGGAAGCAGACAGTGTTTTGAGGAATTCTCAGGAGATTCGCGCTTTATATAGGCAAACGAGAGCCAACTCAAAATGCTGGCGAAGGCCCAGCATGACCAGACATATGCTTTGGGAAGGTTAATCAAACATTTAAGGGTAAGCTTACAGTTTTGTATGCTAACTCTTCCACAATAGGACAGGAGAAGTAGGTAGAAAACAGTCTATGAAAAAACTGATCAGGAGTCTATCGCACAGGTAAATAATAATTAAAACAAACCACTGCAAGAGGAATTGAGCAGTATCAAGTGGAGCTGGAAAGGGGATGTGTATGTGAAATAGCATTCTGAAAAGCACCAGTGACAGCTTACCTGATTCTTCTGTGTCTTGCTCATCTATTAAACCCACCGAGATGCCTAAATCCACACACTTCTTGCTATGTGCCTTGGACTTCATGTGTTTTGTCAGATTTCCTTAAGGGAAAAGAATATTTATTAAATGTATGTAGTGTTATTCTGCTACTGCATTTGTCAATTCTGGAAAATTCTATTCTTACTTCAAACAAACATATACACTGTGATTAAACAATTCCAACAACTATAATTGCATAAAAGAAATCACTGGTATTTATAGTTACTTGCAATGACTTTTGTATTTACTAGTGATAGACAGCATTTTGTTTTCAAATCTGGTAGCTACTTTTGCCTGTTGGGACCTACTCTCCAGTTCTTATTTCTTAAGAGTGCGCACACTCCATGTCTCTTTCAGAGTGCACTCTGACCGGTAGTTACTGGTGTGTAACTTATCCACTATCTGTGTTTGCTGGCCAGCTCTCATAGTAGCTCACTTCCTTGTATGAGTTTTTACTTTAAGTCCATCTTCAGTAATATGGCCTTCCATAGAATCCTAAGGATCCCAAGTTGTAGAAGGATCTCTACAAGAGTTTTCTACCTGGGACCTTATCAATGTCATTCATTTCAGAACACTTTCAATTGCTTATTTCCCATATGGCCCAAAGTCAATGGGAAGGAGAGTCAGGTGTACTTTAGGGGCCCTGACAGGCATTAAATCCCAGACCTGCTGGCATGAATATTGCCTTGACCCCCCTATGATGTTTTAACCTTAACCCCCCCTATGATGTTTTAACCTTGACCCCCCCCATGATGTTTTAACCTTGGATCCTCTATGATATTCTAACCTTGGCTTCCTTATGATGTTTTAACTTTGACTCCATATGATGTTTTAACCTTGACCCTCCCATGATGTTTTAACCTTGACCCCCCCAATGTTTTAACCTTGACCCCCCTATGATGTTTTAACTTTGACCCCCCTATGATGTTTTAATAATCTCCCTACCATTCTGGTTTTTAGTTTCTCCTTTATTCTGGTACCTGAACATTCACAGTTTTAAAGTTTGGATTATTGATTATTGATGACTATTCTGGGTTGCTTTTGAGCATCATTAACAGCAATGTGTGGAGCACAAAAGAGAGAACCCACTCGGCACTGTGACCTCCTGTGCTGAGCAAATGTGTCCGGAGCGGCTCTAGGCTACCTGCTCTGGCAGCTGACTGGCCATCTGTGTGAGTATCTCAGGTCCACAGGGCACACCTGCCTGGAGTGACCACGGGTGACAGAGAGCAGCACGGGGTCTCCCGAGACCCCCAGCCATCCTGAGTGGATGGTACGATACCTGAAAACACTGCCAGCCAAGGGCACGCTATCTCTCTTGAGAAAACACAGGACAAAATTTAAATATGGAATTTGGGGGGCAAGGAAAAATTAGAAATGTTTAAAATTTTGGAATCCTCATTCCAAAAGTTGGGCTTGCATTAGAAGCCCATGCAAATCTGTTGGATTTATACAGCTTCAATTTCTTGATAAATGCAGAGTTTGTGAAATTGGCCACAGCTGTACATGCCAATTCTGGCACTATCAGGTATATTCTTGTCAAACAACCACACAGCATCCCAAAGCCAAGTGCTTAAGAAGTCCAAGCCGAAGATGCTTCTGAAGCGTGTGATTTCTAAGAGGCATTAGCTGCTGCCAGGTGTATCCCGTAGATAACACTGGGTTTAAATGCTCTTCCTGTGGCTGACATTTACATTACACAAAACATATGGCAGAATGTGAAGAGTCATTAAGATACACAGGGCAAACTGGGATTTATTATATAAACCTCTGCTTTTCTGTAAGAGTGTCATTAAAAAGTAAACAAATAAACAAGTGGTTAAAAGCCACTTCGCTGTGGCTGAGATCTCCCTATCCAAGTCAAAATGCTTCCATAGTAGTAACAATACCGAAAACAAATTAGCAGGCTCACTAGTCCTTCTCTTTCAAAGAGCTTTGGTTCCCAAGACAGACTGACAGACAGAGCAAGGTCTGTGCTAAGAAACTAATATAGAGCTGTGCTTGGGCAGATTTGGGAATTTAAGTTTTTAGTATACATATTCTCTCACAGTTTGATCTATTACTTTATTGATCACCTCCCTAAATAGTTTAAAAAACAAAACCTATGCATTTACATGTGTAGGATGTATTCATTTCAGGTTATACCTTGATCATCTCACCAACACTGCTACATATGTGCAATTGTTTTATTATTAAGGTTAGCCTTGATACATGTTCCTGTTCTCACATCGCAAATTAGCAGATACTTCTTAAGTCACAGTGACCACCAATGAAAGCAGAAAATTGGTTAAAAGGCCCTCGTTTCCCGGCACTACTGAGGACTCACCCTGACTGCTGCCTCCCTGACCATCTCCAGGGAAAGGAGGGCCTACATCACTAGCCCATGATTGAGGACTCCTCTCACCCCCAGACTCACTTGAAACTCTGCAGAACTGTTCCAAACTTTCTGAAGAGTACTTCGTTTCCCTATGATCCTCCTTAAGACTCATCTGTTGTCTGAGCTAATGTAAACACACTCAGTTGCTACAGTTGTAACTTTCTTTAAATGCCAATAAATCTGAGCCAGAAATGCACCCAAACAGGCTAAAGAGATGATTAATCTTTATCAAAGAACTATAACGACAGCCAGTACAACAGCGCAAAAACAATAAAGGAACTCAAAAGGAAGTCTCAAGAAAATGATCATTTTTTACGGACCCTGCTATGTAAGTCAGGCATCCCCCATGGTTAGACTGCTTTGCTGAAGAAAGTCCTATTTTGTAAAGGACAGTGCATGAAATTGTCATCTTTAATGACTGTTACATAATTATCTGTGAACAAGGAGTAAACATTTTATAACAGTATATTCATTACACATAACAGGAAACCTGTGTGGGGTGAAATTACTTCGTCATGAGGGCTTATGCTTTAAATAAACATAAAACAGAAGCACGCTAAGTATAGTTTTAATGACGATTTCTGAGAGTCAATAAAACATTTAATAGTAGAAATGTTTAAAAACTTTAAATCTGAAATTTAATATAATTTGGATTAAAGTTTATCATAAACGATGGCTATTTATGGCTAAAATTAGATAATAAAGTGAGTGATTACAAAATTTTTTTTCTGATTATTATTTAAAACTCTTCTTGAATCTTTTGGAACCCAAATGAATTTACTTGTGATCACAAAACATTTTCCTTCTTCAGCCCCAAAATTAGTATTCTGAAAATCTGCTAGTCATTGTTAAGGAACTGTATTTCGGGGAGTAAAATATAAAAAGAAACAGCCGATTACTTTTACTTATGGATATTCTGAAACCCTGTAATTAGAAGTATTTTCCTCAAAGGGTCTAGAAACATAGAGAACACACACTACGAGCTGTAACTTAGCCCATGGACGCCATTTATCCTTGACAGAGACAACATGTAGCCGGACCATGGCCTCCTGTATAAAGACACAGGAGGCCCACAGCAATAAGCATGGCATACCTTTCGTCTTGAAGGAGAAGTTACAGTATGTGCAATGGTAGGGGCGGACATCTGTGTGGGTTCGTATGTGTTTCTTTAACATGCTAGGTTTCTTACAACGGATTCCACATTCTTCACAAATGTACTTTCCTCGTCCCCTGCCTCGGACGTACACATAATCCTCATTTGACTTGTATCTAATTTAAAGGGAGAAATGAGCAGGAAAATTGGACACTGTGTCTTTGAGAAAATATTGATGAAACCTCAACCTAAAAAATAAAGCACAACTTTTATACACAATCTACAATGATTTTATGTATATTTAAGAAAGAAGATTCCCAGTTCTGCATCACACCTCAAGTTCTGACAGTTAATTCTACTTTAGTCATTCAATGTGACGTTTAATTCTTAAATATTTCCACAATTTTAAGATGCAGTTTGAAAGGGTTTTTTTCACTGCTAAATTCCACACAGCGACTGTAAACTCTGAACTATTATCAAGCTTTGCCTGACACTGGCTCTTGTAGCTTGTTTTTCTCATCATAACTGACACCAGCTCTCACAGCGTATTTATTACTCTTGAACTAAAACAGGAAGACAGCAAAAGGCAATACCCATCTCTCTTCGAGAAATTTCCCAAGCCATTCCATGCTGCAAGTCCATGTGGAAGTCAGGTTCACTCTGAAGCTATTCTCACAGGACTTCCGGATCTACATTTTTTCCTAGCCATCATTTCTTCTATGAAAATGGAATTACTTAAGAGAACACTAACATGTGCTGTCAGGAAGATTCTGTTAGTAAGAAACCTTTAAATCAAACCACCACGGCCGGGTCTGCGTTCACATGACAGCAAATGTACATTTAAAAGGGGAGTTTAAATGTACATTTAAGAATGAAATATGTACTTGCCCTCCATCAAATATTTTAATTCTTCTTGGTTCACTTTTGATTAAGGAATTTTCTTTATCTTGCTCACTGTTAATTTCAGAGTCATCTTTATTGCTGAATTCAACTACTGAGGACTTGTGATTACCTATTGCTCTCTGAAAGGGAAAAAACAAAAAGAGAAACTAATTTCATTAAACTGGAAACACAAACACCATAATGTTTCACTAGCAATTAACATAACAGAGTACAGACAAGTGGTCAGCTCAATGACGTGGACTCCAAAGGGGCAGCAGAAGTCAAGGCCATCTGTTCCCTTTCCTCCAGTCTCCCACCACAGTCCATGATACCTCAAGTGAACCAACTGCCTTCCCTGGGGGTTCAGGAAGTTGACGGAAAGCCTTCTTTAACAGACTAAACAGTCTTTATGCTTTACTGGCCACCTGTACCGCAGTTTAAGTCTATTTCTTTCTTTCTTTTTTTTTTTTTCCTTCAGGACAGGGTTTCTCTGTGTAGCCCTGGCTGTCCTGGAACTCGCTCTGTAGACCAGGCTGGCCTCAGACTCAGAAACATCTACCTGCCTCTGCCTCATGAATGTTGCGATCAAAGGTGTGCACCACTACTGCCCGGTTATGTCTATTTCTTTTTTTTTTTTTTTGGTTTTTCGAGACAGGGTTTCTCTGTGTAGCTTTGCGCCTTTCCTGGAACTCGCTTTGGAGACCAGGCTGGCCTCGAACTCACAGAGATCCGCCTGGCTCTGCCTCCCGAGTGCTGGGATTAAAGGCGTGCGCCACCACCACCCGGCCAAGTCTATTTCTTAAAGAGCTATTTCTTGGGAGATGGAAAGCACCTCTGGATACCATACAGTCTCAGGTCCCTCAAGGACACCACTAAAACCCTTCAACGTGGGAGAGCCACCAAGGTGGAGCAGAAGCCCCACTTCCCTTTCTCCAGCCTGCCTCTCTCCCATTCCTTTGAAGCGGAACATGGCTTCCCCCTCTAGAATAGCTCACGAAAACCAAACAATGGTTAGCGTGAAAGTCAGGTCAAGCCTAAGTCAGAGTGGGGGCTGACAATAAGATCTTTGGAAAAGGTAAACACGCATCAAAATGACAAAGCACGTGTAGCTACCCTAGAGGGAACCCCGCCTTAAGCTGTACACAAGACTTCATAGGGCTGTGCCACCCAGTCAAAGCAAAGTGCTAACAGCAAAAGCTACAGGCCCCGTCCTTGCCTTCACAAGAGGCACAACTTCCGCCAGGAAGAGTTCCATTCCTACAGTGGGACTCAGCAAGACGGAAGTGACTTCCTTCCACCAGAGAATGTGCATCGTGGAGGAGTGGCTGTGTGCACTGGAAGAGTGCTTGGGAGCCCAGTCCTGACTATGGCAGTGGAAAGCAAAGGCTGCTGGCCACTCCACAGAAGGGGAGAATGGCGATTACTGACATGCCCCCCCCCCCCCCCCCCGTTTCCTTCCACCCCCCAGGAGGCAAGCAGACCAGATTCTCCACAAAGCAGAACACACACAGTCCTGGTGCTGACCTTACCCCTTTAGCGATGGTCTTTCTTAACCTTCTTTTCAATATGAAATTCCTCCTTTTGGGGGGTGGGCAGGCATTTAAGAGATAGGAACTGGAACCAACATGTGTTAGGCAAGCTCTTTTTGCCAAGAGCATGCTTCAACCTCCAACTCCCTGTACTTTTGCTCACTTTCCTACCATCAAACCCAGCTCCTACTTGCTAAAGACAGCAGCGACTTAGGTGGTTCACACAGCCATTTCAACAGTTCTGGTGAGCTTGTGCGCTCCAGGGCATCCCCTGTAAACTGCGGAAACTGCTTTTGCTTTCGCTTTCTAACATCTGCTCCTTTCCACCTGGAATCCGTATGTGCCACCATATGGGTTCTACACAACAGTCAGGTGCCCAGGCCTCCCGAGCCACTTGTTCATGGATTCAAGTCTCCAGAGACCAAATGTGCAGAGCACAGGCTCTCGCCTCATCTTCCTAGGACGTCACTACTCTTAACAACTCTTGAAACAGTCTTTTGAGTTGTGCTGGCTACCATTGCCCTCCGGGGCTCTCCTCCTAGGAACAATTTCTCTCTGTTTCCTGAGAAGACTTTCCTCATCGCCTCTCCATTCTCCTCCCTCTGAGCAATCACAATCATTCCTGCAAGCTGACAGACCTCTGGACAGATCTTCCACCTGCTGTTTCCACTGAGAAAATTGAAATCTAAGTACATAGTGCCAGGACTTCCTCCAAGGCCTTTTAACTCTCCCCTTGGGTTCTAGACGGAAAGAAGTATCTTTTTTTTTTTTTTTTTTTTTTTTTGGTGCCTGTCCTGGATCTCACTCTGTAGACCAGGCTGGCCTCAAACTCACCGAGATCCGCCTGGCTCTGCCTAGCGAGTGCTGGGATTAAAGGCGTGCGCCACCACTGCCTGGCCTGGAAAGGCATATCTTACACATGCTCAAGACTGAGTTACAGCTCCGGCCTGGGAGAACCATGTTCACTGGGACATTACGAATATAAACCAAGACCTGCTTACATTCTCATGGGGAGGTATGGCCCAACTAAGGCTCTAGTTTAGGGAACCTGGGGTCTAAGAAGTTCCAACAACAAAAACTCTCAGTCTGTGGCTGCGGCTTCCTTCCCTGGCATGGATGGTTATGCATCACCATGTACAGCCTTGGTTTTTACCTGTGTTGTCAACTCCAAACTTCTTACAAAAACTTCCAGGCCATGCCAGAGTCCCTGCAGTCTTTAACTCAACCAATTTCTTCTCATTTTCACATGATTTAAATATCTACTAATTAAAAAAACCTCATTTGTCTAAAGTATCTATCGCTATTATCATCACCGTCGACCCCACTGAAGTAACACCACCTTGGATGCCTTCCTGTATCCATGACTCCACAGAACAGCCATGTTAGAACTATGCAAACTTCTACTGAAATGCTAGTACCACAAATATTTCATGTGGATAGATTCATAAATGCTTACAGATCAGTACTATATGCTTGTGAGCTTGCAGAAGTCAAGAGTTCATAATTCTGAATGACCAGAGTCTAATGTAATACTTATTTATTTAACTGCTTAAATGATTTCCCCATTTTATAAAGCCAACAATTCTTATGAGAATTCAACACATTGCTCTAAATTATAATGTCATGACTATTCTATAAATCTTGACCAAATCAAATAATCCAGGCATGAGTTCTTTTATGCATCTTTTTGGCAGTAGTTAGTGGCTCTCAGTTTACTTAGAACACCACAGTGGGCATGGTGAGAGCAGATCAGTCTACAGGAGGCAAAGGACAAGTGTTATTGGTGCTTTGTACAGTTCACAACAGAATACAGCCACCTCTGGTAACCTACAGGCTGGTGTTTCCAAATTAGCCACGATCTTCTCTCTGCTAACAACTCCTCAATGAGGAGAAAAATCAAAATCCTAACTCCCATTGAGTAGAGTCAGCTGAAGGGAAAACCAAAAACAAACCAACAACCAGTGCCCAAGGAAGTCAGTGCTTGCAAAATATTTACAGACAGAATCACTGCCAGAACTGTAGGCAATTCTTCCCAGTGACTCCTGGGGACAACGTCACCTCCCCTCTAATAATGACATAGTACAACTTGTCATTCAAAATTAAAATACTTATTGTAAGTAAGACACTTAAAGGTACTAAGACTTACTGCAACTAATTTGCACAAACCACATCTGAAGATAAATTGTATCTCAAGTACCTTGCTTAAGTTGTTTTTCCACTTGCTTGAATAGACCACTAAATCTGATTTTGAATGGGTGGTTATTGCTTGGCAATACAGTGACTTTCCAGTCTTCTGTTTAGAATTAAGAAGAGAAAGAGCAACTTTTGTAGGCAAACCAAGTGGATTGGGGTTACTGGAGCTCACTGTCCATCCAGTGTAGGCTGAAGTTTTCTGGCTACTCTGAGACAAGGGCAATGACTTCTGTCTTAACAGGTAACACCATGTAAAGCTGGTTGCAGTCTTGAGGCTGGGGAATGATGGCTGAGTGTCTGAACTGCTTAACAATGAAAGACCAGGGATTGAAAGCTGACTCTGCCCTTGGGTGTCGGCTTTGTTCTCTTGATGTTTAAGCCCTGCTGACTCCTTTTCCTGGTTGTTGTCCATAGATTTCAAAGGCAAAACACAGGCACTTTCCAAAGGGACAGGCGAATTTTGCACTGTAGGAGTCAGCGATGTGGATGACTTGGTATTTTTAACCTCCTGCAGTTCAATGACACGGTCTGTGACTACAAACGTAGAGGGTCCTGATGACAAATCCTCCTGTGTCAAACTGGCAGTCTCGCAGCTCCCTTCAGGTGCAGAAAACGCGTCCTGCTCTAGTGGCCCTCCTTCAAGGGGCTCCATGGTACACAGCTGCCTGACCAGGACCGGCTTCTTCTGCTTAGTGCCCTCACCAGCTCCGGAACTCGGCAGCTCCAAGGGTCTAATGTTGGCGCTGCAAACTGCTCCATTCTCATCTTTGGCCCGCTTCTGATGCTTTTCCATGGCAATGTCTAAACTGTTTGCTGGGGAAAGCATCCTTTTACTTGAGGCTGAGGATTCTTGTTGTGGGGAGAGTCTACCAACAGACGTCTTCTGAACTGTGGTCAAGGATTCTGAAACGGATGTGTTTTGGCCCATCTCTGGAAGAACATTCTTGCATGCAAGATCTTTCTCTGCTGTTGGCAATGCACTTTGGAGATGGTTCTGTGATTTTGGCATGGAATTTTGTTCTTCGTTGACTGGCACTATACTTTCATTAGCTTGGCAAATTGGCATGTTGGACAGATCATGGGTTACTAAGATTTGTGGCAGAGATGTGACAGTGGCAAAACAGTACATAGGAACATTACTCTGTTGGGGCACTGGCAGCATGAAGGATGGCGGTCCCTTCTGCACCTGATCGTTTGGTGGCCTGAGCTCCAGTGATGGCAGAGAACAGGGTTTAGATACAGGATCGACTAGTTTGGCTGACAGTGCTACTGAAGCTACCCCCGGATCTGCTCCGGTTTGATCTGGAAGAACTTGATTAGAATGCAAAGGAGAGAGAGAAGAGCAACCCTGGCCAGAAGTGAATGCTTGACACTGAAGCTGGTACTTAGGAGCAAAGCTACCCTCGCCTGTAGAAGACACACACACGTTGGGATGCGCACCTGGTTTGCCGCCCTGTGCAGATGCTGGCAGAGACAGTGCTGTGTTTTGGTGACTAAGGGGTGCATGAGTTTTATTTAATAAATGGACACCAAAAAGCTGTTGAGGAGGAAAGGTGTTGGTAGAGCTAGAACTTGACATTTCTGGCTGAAGATCCTTAACCAGGGCCTGGGAGTGCACAGAATGTGCAGGAAGCTCAGCGGAAGACACATCGGGAAGCCTCGGACCCTGAAACGGCACTGCATTCACACTTGGAAGAGCAGTATTTTGGAAAGATGATGCACTAACAGGAGACAGGTGACTATCAGAAGCTATGTTTAAAGATATCTGCCGGATCAGGGGACCCCGCCTCCTTTCCAAAAGGGGCACATGTCCGGTGCCTCCAACACCAGATGGGGAGTTGGAGGGCTGTGATTCAACAAATGCTGCCGCCGATGCCTGAGAAGAAGTAATGCTCCCACAGTCAAATGACTTACTTCTGAAATCAGAGACCTCCATCAACGTGGGCATGCAACTGATCTGCTCTGATGCAGCACGCCTCATTTCCCGGTGACTTCCAGGGACACTCAGTGTGTTCGAGCCCAGTGGAATCAAAAGGAACTCTGCTTTATTTGGAAAATCGATTTTGGGGGGTACCTCTGCTTTAGAAACATCTTCTATGTCTAAGGAGGCCGAGAAGCTGGATGCATGGGATAAGCTACTTTCTCTGCTGAGACTCCGGGAGAGAGTGGAATCGAAGCTTGACTCGGTTGAAGAATGCTCTATCTCAGCCAGCCGGAGCCTTTTCTTTTTGGGTGGCAGCTTCTCTGTTGGCAGCTTTGATAAGGTTTCACTGCGCTGAGGCCAACTGAACCTCTCTGACTTTTCTTCGTCATGGCCCTGGGCTTCCAGGTCCCGGTCTGGCTCTTCGGTGACCAGAATTTCTGGGACCTGGATGTTGTGCTGCCGGACCAGTCTCAAAGGCTGCCCTAACACATACCGCTCACTTAGAATCTTTCTAGAACTTTCCCGTGGCTCTCCTCTAAGAGCATGTGACAGTGCTGTGTGATGTGTGACATCCCGAGATGGGTGGCCTTCCTCTGGGGAGATCCCTATCACTTTCAGAGCCCCAGGCATCCCGGTTCTGCCTAGCTCCTGTAAGGAAAAGGTGGTGCCTCCTTCCAGGGGATCCAGCTTGTCGAATGAACTAGGCCTGCTCAGGGAGTTGGTGTGCTGGATGACAGAGATGCCACCCCCTTGCCTCTTCACCTCCATCTTGTCCTGAGCTGCAGAATTGGGCTGCTGTTCAACCACAGGGCACTGCTTTAGGTGCAGGGCCTGCTCGGGGACTCTGGCCACAAGCTGAACAGGAGAGCTCTGCAGCTGGACGCCCCTGTGTGCCTGGTCACCTGCTGTGGCAGTGGCGTGTTTGGATGGGCTGGGAGCAGAGCCCGGGGCAGGCCGCAGCTGAAGGACTTCAGCGCTTTCTGGAGATGTCCTGCTTTCGCGGGGCTGCAGGTCCTCATCATCGCCTACGCTTTTCATTTTCCTCCTCTTCCTTATCTGGGGTGTCTGCTCCCACACACCCGTGGGAGCAGCAACTCTGTAGTGGAGAACTTGGGGTTGTGTCCCACCAGGCGCAGGGCCGTGCTCCGGCTCTCTCATGGCTACCTTTGTTTTGGGCCCATGTAACTCCGAGCAGTAAAATTTCTTATGATTCTCGAAATTCTCCAGTTTCCGGTACCTGTTTCGACAGGTTTCACACTCAAACATGGTCCCACGTCCTTGATGGGACTTCTTCTTTTCCAGGTGAGGGGCTTGGGCTGCTTTGCTCTGCACTGGCCCGGGCTCACTGGTGGCTGGGCATCCTTGACAGTTCTCATCCACAGACTGTCCAGAGCCCAGCATGTGATTCTCACTGGCTGAAGAGTCTTCCACTGCAGCCTGTCTGACCAGGGGACGGTGATGTCCGCTCGGGGGCATGGACGGGTTGGGTCCTGACACAAAAACATCATCATAAAAGGTGCCAATTTTATCATCAAATGACTGGCTTCCTCTTAGAGGAGGAGGGGGAGGGATTATATTTGCAGGGACTGCTGAATATCCTGTGGTTGGCATGGAGTTACTCCTCGTAATAGGCAGGCAGTCCAAGGAAGGAACGGACAAGAGGAACACCTGCTTTGACTTCTCAGTCGGGGTGAACGGGGACTTTGGTATATCAGAGCTGGAACTTGTTCTCCGACCCATTGGTTTTAGGTCAAACTGGAAGGAATCTTTAAATATGTATGATTTGGGGGAGTCAATGCTTCCCCGTCTGGAAAGTGAGGTTCTCCGGGGTTTCACACTATCCAGTTGCTTATCATCGACTAGGGCTTCATTGTCAGAGATCAGCTTTGAAATCCTTTCCTCCAGAGTTTTGCTTGCCAAGGGTGGGCGCATCTGGCCTGCTAAAACTGATGACTTCTCGACAGTGGCCGAAGCCGTAGGTGCTGGAGCGCTGATTCGAGGCCCTGGAGGTCCACTGTTCTTAGCTGGGTCTGGATCCACAACGGGAAAAGTTCTGGCAAATGGCGTCGGTGGACTCACAGCTTGATCAGCACTTTCAGAACGTGAGAAGTAGCCAGAATCTGTGCTTCCTAAGCTCCGTGGACTCAGGAGCAGCTTTCCTTGCTGCTCCTGGGGGTCGTCTGTGGCCTGCTGCCTCTGCAGCTGCGCATGTGCTGTCCCACCGTGAGGCTCCTGCTTCCCTTCTGACTGAATCACATCCCCTTTCTGGTGGAACTTCTCATCTGTCTCTAGGGAAGATACACCGGCTGGCTGTGACAGTACGTTTGCAACATGAAGGTCCTTCTGCTTCTGTGTGCTAGGAAGTTCAGGCTTGGGACTGGCCCCCTGCGGACCGTCAGTTCTGAGTGTGGAAACACTTACGGGGTGGACCACAACTTTGGGTAACTCTGTCAGGGCTTGTGACTCCGAAGGTCTGTCCTGTGAAGAGAAGCCACTGACCACATGATCTGAACTGCTTGAAATAGATTTGGGTAAAGCTTCAGGATTTGATATCGTCTTCATTATTTGCACAGGTTGTAGGTCCATGACCCCAGGGTCATTCTGCCTCCCGCCTCCAGGCCCCTCCTCCTCACTCTCACCACTGTCTTCAGCATCTGAATGGACACTAAGTGCTTTGGGGCACTCCTGGGACAGGAACAATCCACCAGCCTCTGGCTGTAAGACGAGACCCAGTTTGATAGTGTGTGCATGGGATTTTTTGTGCTTATATAGATTACTTTTAGTCTTGAATGAGAACCCACAGGTCACACAGGGGTAGGGCCGCTCACCAGTGTGAGAGCGGATGTGCTTTAACAGCACACTGGGCTTGGCGCATGCCCTATGGCAGTACTCACAGATGTATTTGCCTTGCTTTTTAGGCTTCTGATCTCGCAGAAGAAGATTGCACATTTGCTCCACACTCTGACTGACAGCAGAAGTGACGTGGGTTGAGCTGTAAACTGGCCCTGGGGGTGACTGCGTGGAGCTGGTGGGGCTCACTGACGAAGGGGACACGGAATCCATTTGCTGGTGTGGAGGAGTAACCTGAGTTCTACTGGAAGGAGTAGTGAGACCTACAGCTGATGTCATTGCTATATTATAGACGGGTTCAAGTTTAGTGTTCTCATGGGCGTGCAGATCTGTCAGCGAGCCTGTTAAGCCCAGACGTCCCGGAAGCTGCTGATTCTGGTGGCGAGGTTTGGGAACAAGGTGGTCGTGTGGGTTATACAGGTGAGAAACAGACTGGGCTGCCACTGGCTCACTCTTCTCAGCTGAGGCCACATGTACCGGGTATGAGGGACACGGAGAACACTGTGATTCGCCAACCATTTCTTGGGAAGTAGGATTTGGGGCGTCCAGGGAACTGTTCTTTAATTTAGAAGGGGATCGTACAGTTTTATTTGGTCTCAGTTTTTCTGTCTGAATTGCACAAGACGAGCCCTTCTGTGACAAGGTGCTCAATTCTGGCTCCATTGCTTTCAGTAAGACATCGAAGGCAGTACTTGGATAGGAGAGGGGCGTGGTGCTACAGCAAGGGGAGCTACATTCACTATTGTCAGTCCTGGATTTACTAGGTGAGGAGCTGGAGTCCCGCTGTCCATCAGGACCACGGAGCCTAGCTGGGTCTGAGCCTTCCGACCTCCATCTCCGCAGCTCTGACCGATGGTGAGGAAATGAGGCCTTCTTTGGGGAGACCGAGTCTTCAGATTTCGAGGCCTCAGCAGTCATCCCAAGTGTTTCTCCATTTTGCTTGGTACATTGCTTCCCATTTTTAGCAGGGACACAGTTGTGTTTCTTATGAGCCTCTGATGCATTCTGGACAACACTGAGCGATGACTCTTCTGTGTTTTGCTTGTGTTTTGTCTGAAGAGGATTCCTCAAGGGGGATTTTGGTATTTTTTTCAGGTGATTCTCAGCAACAACCTTTTTTCGTTTCACACCTTTGAGAGACTCAGAGGCTCCTTTAACACCAGCCTCTAGGATTTCTGTTAAGACAAAAAATAACACAGGTTGGTAAAATTGTATACCTGCCATAATTGTTTAACAAATGTGGTTACTATCAAGAGAGCCAAAGCCTCCTTTAACAGAGCCAGAGCCAGGTCCACACTCTGGACATTTTAAGAAGGTACCCAGTCAAAACCTACAGAAACACTATTACAGAGATCATGCTGGGTGTTTCTGGAACATTCTGCCCCTTTCTGGAGGAACCCACATCATGGAGCTAGACCTTTCACAAGTGGATAATCCTTCCCCATTGCTCACATATCTGCAGACTACTGACACTACATTCTGAGCAGGCTGGCCAAGCAAAGAAGAATATCCAACCTTCCTACAGGGGTATCTGACTTACCACACTCCCAACCATTAACTGCAAGCTCTACAAGCTCTGGACAAGGGATGCTGATATTTGCATGAGCAAAAAGGCTACTGTGTAGTAACGAATTAGTAAATATACCTCTGTAAGTGAGTGAGTGCCCACAGAGGCTCCCTAGTAAGACCTTACTCAAGGTCAGAGAATCTGAGCTTGCTTTACCCAGCAGTGTAGTAGGTAGCCATTCCAGCTTTGATCTGGAAGTTCCAACCCCTATTGAGACTATGGAATTCTTGAAAAAGCTACTTGGCTAGGGCCTTATGGGCCCCAGCTATACGTTGCCGGTTGTGGTGATGCATGCCAGTAGGATTTGCTGAAGAAGGCAGAGGTAGGAGGATCCCGAGTTTGAGGCCGGCCTAGGAGGCTTGGGAGAAGCTTTGGCCCGGCTAGCTCAGTCAGTAGAGCATGAGACTCTTAATCTCAGGGTCGTGGGTTCGTGCCCCACATTGGGCACCAGATATTGGTGAAATTATTAAGGCTACTCCACGTAGTTAAAAGGAGATTTATTTAATGGTGTAACTTACAAATTAAGGGATAGGTAGGTCGCGGGGTCTGGGGAAGGTGTATCACAGTCCAGCGGTGTTCTCTGGAGCTCTGCTTGGCCCACCTTCACCGTCCAAGGTCCCAGAACTGAGAGAGCGCTCGCTCATTCAGATCTCGGGTCTCCAGGCGCCTCCCTTGGCCCTGCCTTGTAGGCGTGACAGTTGCTGAAGTCTCAATGGGGGTTGGAACTTCCAGATCATAGCTGGAATGGCTACCCACTACACAGTAGGGCTGCATAATGGCACAATTTGGCCAAGGGTGTGGTTACCAGGTGTTTTGAAAGGTCTACACTTGGCTGTACACTGTGCTTTGATCTTGAAAGAAGGAAGTCTTTTGCCATTGGAATTGTATAAAAAGCCCTTTGGGATAAACCTCAAGGCAGCTGGGTATTGACCCAGGGCCTTCCTGAAGCTATCCTGTGTCTCTGTCTTTCTCTCTGTCTCTGTCTATATTTCTAATAATTCCTCATTCCTCTTTCCTCCCTGCAAGCAAGAACTGTTCGACAAGTCAGAGCTGGATTCTGGCAGACTCCCACACCTCTGGTGGTCATGATATAGTGGTCAGTGGGATCAGGAAGTTTTGTAACCACAGAGATTGCATCAATGGACAGAAAGCTACAAAATTAAAGAAACACTCATTTGTGGTTTCTTGCCAAGGACATGAGAAAGTCCTGAGATTGTGATGGCTCTTGGTTTAATAAAAATCATCGACATAACTGAGCAAAATATTCACTCCATATGTTTCTTTGAATGTATGAGGAATAAAAGTCAAGTGGACATACAGAGACAGATAGACAAGTAAAACCCACTACAGTAAAGAAAAGAAGACACTGATCTCATTTTAAACTGCTCTGGAAGCAAATCAGTTTAAATGTCATGAACTGTCCAAAATTTCTCTAAACTATTATGCATTTAGTCACTACAATGATTATTCACTATGATTTAATCTGTTTTCGATTTGTCAGATCTCTGGGCATATAAACAGAAATTATTTCTCTATATATTACCTATTTTAGAAAAGCCAAATATTTTAATTCATTGCTTTCACGTAACTGTCACAATGTACATATTTGAAATTCATGCTGGACCAAAACATTACATCTCTAGTCATCAGAGAAATGCAAATCAAAATGACTATGAGATACCACCTTACACCTGTGAGGATGGCTATGATCAAAAATACTAATGACAGTCTATGTTGGAGAAAATGCGGAGCAAGGGGAACACTCCTCCACTGTTGGTGGGAGTGCAAACTTGTACAACCACTGTGGAAATCAGTATGGCGGTTTCTCAGAAAATTGGGAATCAATCTACCTCAAGACCCAACCATACCACTCTTGGGCGTATACCCAAGGAATGCTCAATCATACCACAAAGATGCATGCTCAACTATGTTCATAGCAGCACTATTTGTAATAACCAGAACCTGGAAACAACCTAGATGCCTCTCAACTGAAGAATGGATTAAGAAAATGTGTTACATATACACAATGGAGTACTACTCAACAGAGAAAAACAATGACATCATGAAACTTGCAGGTAAATGGATGGAACTAAAAAATATCATCCTGAGTAGGTAACCCAGACTCAGAAGGACAAACATGGTATGTACTCACTCATAAGTGGATACTAGATATAAAGCAAAGGAGAATCAGACTACAACTCATAGATCCAGAGAGGCTACCTAGTGGGGGAGGACCCTAGGATGACTGTGGCTTATAATAAGTTTTGGTTTTACTCAATCACTGGGAAAGTTTTAGTGAAACATTTCACTATTAGGATAAGAATTTGTACTGTATCATACTGATGAAAGAATATGCTGGCTGTACTTTCGGGGTGGGGGGGTAAAGTCTTTTTAGATTATGGATTAGCCTATAGAAAAATGTCTGCCGTAAATCAAACAGTGAAGGGGAAGATGAATAGGAATCTCACTTACACAACTTAAGTAAAACATAACTCTCTGAACAGATGAAGATAGGTCTCTTCTGTATCTCAGAATCTAATCAATATTTATATGTATAATTCAGCTATCATTTGGCTTAAAAGAGCTTATTGGGAAATGTTATCATTTATACTATTTTCTACAGAGAAAATAGTTTACTGTTTAAAATAATCCTGGACTTTTAAATTATAACCTGTTTTTATGTTCAAACTATCTATTATTTCTCCTGCAGTTGTACATAAAATGTTTTTATGTTCAAAAAAATAAAATAAAACAACAACAACAAAAAAACCCATCACACTGTAATACTCACTGTCTTTTATGATGATGGCAGTTTACATATATGTTCTATACCTGCTGTGACATGCATGTATGTGCTCTCACAGATATACTGAGTGAAGAGAAGATGCTGACTCCACTGTAGACCCCTCTCCTCCCCAGGGGCATGATGGGAAGGCAGGCGCACCACTCCCGCACTGTAGTGAAGCAGCATGAAGTACCGGCTGTTTTCTACAGAGCTGTGCTGAGCAAGCCTTTTGTATTCTTCTAGGCAACCTTTTATGAAGT